TTTCCTAGTTTCAAATGCCTACCCTGTCTCTTCCTAGATGCATAAATAAACTGGGGCAAATAAAGTCACTTCTCTGAATGAATTTCCTCTTCTGTAAAATGGAGGTTATAATGGCATTTCCTATGTGGAACTAATTTATAAGAATTAAACAAATAAATTTATCTAAAAGACAAAGTGTTTTGTACAAAATAGGCCACTATTGATGTTTCCTGGTCTTGCTGCTCTCTCTATGGTCAGGGGTCACAGTGGTGGTATTGGTCAAGGTCAGACTGAGCATAACTGTGGCACGGGTCTAAGTGCAGGGCATGAAAAGTTCCCTGCTTTCCTGACTCCTGTAGTCATTCATGGAGGTCACAAATAGACGAACAATCTCCAGTAATGACAGGTGACATGAAAACAGTCAAACAGGATGGAGGCCAAGACATTCAAAGAAAACCACTCTGAGTCCAGACAAGAAAGGAATGGTGGTGAGATGATTGGGAGCAAGGCCTTCCCAGCAAGGGATCCAGCAGATTCTCCCTCTGGTCAGAACAAGCTTGTGGTGTTGGGCCAACTGAAACAGAACAAGGCCTGTGGAAAGAATCAGAACCCCAAGTAGCTTACGCCAACCTTCGAAGAACAGGAGGAGCAGGACTGGCCCCATCAAGATACCTAGCTACAACCACAAGGCCAGGCAATCAACAGTGGGGGCATGTGGCTCAGAAAGGAGGGCAGAGGAGGGCAGGGGAAGAAGACAAGAAGACCAGGGAAACCAACTAGGGGGCTCAGACACAGAGCTCAGTGAAGGCAGACGGCAGCCTCACGATCCATGGGAAAGGTGCTGGGAAGCAGTCTCACTTGAGAAAAAAAATAGAAGAATCTTTTCATCCCAGCAGATAAAGGATGAAATACATAAACGTGAAGGCTGGAACTGCAAAGTTAATAGAAAAAGGAAACAGGAGAATATCATTGAAATCTAACTTCTAGAAAGAACTTCATAAAGTAGACTTTAAAAATATAAATCAAATGCCAAATGAGAGATTGGTTATGTCAAAGTTAAAGATTTCTGTTCACTAAATGACATGACGGACAAAGTTATTAAACAAATGACAAAATGAGAGAAGATGTTTTACAGCGTCTAAGATGAGCAAGAGATTACTACCTACCTACCAAAAGGAAATTAATCTCCTTTAAGGAAGGGGATTTAATATATTAAATTAATTACACATAAGCAACATTTGGAATTCAATCAAAATGATGGGAAACTCAAAAGA